TATTATACTTTACACCGTTTCGCAGGTAAATTTGCTTACGAGTTTATACCTGTGACCGAAACTTTTCGGCCATTTCGGCCACGTGGCAAATGTTTAAAGCAAAGTTATCAATAATTTGTAAATATGGTAAAAATCAGACTTCATATATGTTAAGCCAGCTCCTCAGAAACTTATGCAAGACCTTTTGGTATTTTAGCAAGACTTTTGGTATTTCGGCAGACTGAAATTTTCGGCAATCCATACTTAATATTATAGTTGTAGACTTATTTAGGTCATTAGGTACGGCTCAATTGCGTTTTATTTTATAACCCGATTTTTTATATAGGACGTAACTAGGCGATGTCATAAGTCTGCATCTATACTTAATATACAGCCGGAATTTCCAATACCAAAAGGTCTTGCTGCGAATCTAGCTTAACATATATGATTTCTACCATATTTACAAATTATTGATAACTTTGCTTTAAGCATTTGCCATTTGGCCGAAATGGCCGAAAGATTTCGGCCACAGGTATATGCCATTCGAGAGTTTTCTAAAAATGCTATTCTCATTAATACACAGTCGTTCTACATTTTTATTTCTTCGATTACTTTTGAGGCCCTTTAGAAATCACGTTCTTGTGCCACCTCAAATGTGCAAAATGTAAAGATGGTTAGGTATCTGTCTACCGGTAAATCTGCCGATAACAATAGGATGTGATTTAACTATCATTACGTCATCGAGTACGTAATACTATTACACAGCAAAAAGGCCTCGAGACGAATTTTTTAGTTGTAGATATTAATATTTAATCAATTAAAATTTTAAATATAAAATAGAAAAATACTGCATAAAAAAATAGCGATAGTACAAAATTTTATTATACTAATGCGGGCTAAAAAAAATTTGCTGTGAATAAATTACATATTTAGAAATATGATCCGATAAAAATCTCAATTGTGATCAAAGTGCCATTTTACACATAATGATTTACCGTATTACACAGCATCAATTTGTTCTTAGATTTCGAATCTCGTCTTAACCTAAATAGATTCTAATTCCAAGGACGTTTAAAGCCTGGCACCTTCCGGCTTTTCCAATTTTTAATTAATATAGTTAGACATGGGCTAGGAGGTTAATAGGTATATAGTAAAATCGCATTTCCGACACATTTACTTAGTGAATCAAGACCGCTTTAGATAGCCATTTTTTATATTTTCGTGTTTTTGTATTTGTCGTTTTGTTCGGAATAATCAGTAACACAGATCGAGTAATTCGTAAGGTGCCAGGCTTTAAACGACCTCTAATTCCATTCCAATGTACGACATTGATATTTGATTTGATAATACGTAGTAGGTAAATTCATTTTTTAGATTGTATATACAGCATTAAAATGAGAAAAAATAACATTAAGTTCCTAAATTACTAAATAGCTGGGCAGCTGAATTTTGTAAAGGGTAATAAATTAATGTGTCATTTTGTACAGTCTTGTGCCGTTGAACGAATTACAGTCAACCCTTTATAAGTGTACGCAGCCAAGAAATGTGTACTTATAGAAGGTATTTTGGTCCAAGTCCAATCTTTAATTATTCTAACCTTTTCGAATCATTTTTATTGTATTGACCAAATGATATGCACTTATAGAAAAACCACAACAAAGTGCACTTATAGTGTAAACTTATTGGCAGATGATGAGCAAATCTTTCATTACAATTGTAGTTAAAAAAGTTTTTTAATAAATTTTATGTTACGATAAATTCAATAATAAATAATTGTGTATATTTCGTCTAATTGATATAAAAATTTCCGATTTATTTATATCAATGTATTTGGCACGATTAAAAAAAAATAAAAATAAAAAGTGATCAAAGTAAATCATATTTTAACGTTTCTAAAATCATAACACAAGATCCCCTGATTCATCATGTTTGTTTATCATTATTGTCTTGTCAAAAAAATTAACGGTTATGGTTAACACTGATTTGTAGTTTTACCATAATTAAAAAAACATCTGATGCACTAATGAATCACAAGGTAAAAAAACAGCCTTCAATATATATCGGTATTAGCTAGATGGTAGACGTAAATGGTAAAAGTATATTCGTAAAAAAGTCCTGATGTGATTTTGACGTTATTAACGATTATATTAGTTAAAATGATTTAAGTAGCAAAAAAAAAAGTATAAAAAAATCAAAATAAAAAAAATGAAAAAAAAACTCTGAATTATGTCAACTAAGTCTCAGAAAACCAGAAGGCAAAAAAGAGATGGCAAATATATACCACCAGATAGCGAGGATGAAAGTGATTCACCATCTGAAACTTCAAATCGTCCATTAAAAGGGAGATCACGTGTTCCTTTCCTGCCAAGCTCAAAGAACCATATCAATATGTCAAAACGGAAAAATACTGCAAAACGTATTGTTCGAAATCCAACAAATAAAAAGAAACATCGACATCACAAAACTGTTGTTTTTGGTGCTCCAGGAAGCAATGAATCAAAAAAGATGTTTGTTCCCAAAATTGTCGTTAGAAACCCTACTCGTAAAGTTGTTAGAGTATTGTCAAAACCAAATAAAATTAACGAAGGACATTTGGCACCACCAGCTCCAATGATGCGTAGAATGTCGAAAAAGCAAAAATATCAAATTGGAATAGACAAAAATACAATTATTGAAGCCCAAGATGCACTTTTGGCATCATTTCCGTTACCATCTTCATCGGTTCCTCATAAATTTAGCAAAAATATTAGCATTATCGGTGCTATTAATATTCGAGCATTTGGTGCTAAAAAATTTTCTAATCTTGCCGTAATGAGAGTTATTATAGACATCCTTCGACGATACGATATTGTTCTTTGCCAAGAAATTCTTGTACCAATTGGTAAAGAAGAAATGATTCAGCGACTTGTAGACTTAATATCAACTCCTTCCACTCCATATTCTTTTACGTTGAGTCGTCCTATTGGTAAGAGTTCGTATCAAGAAAGGTATCTTTACTTGTATAGAAAGAATGAATGGAAAGTATTAGAGGACTATGTAATTGATGATCAAAAAATGGGTAATAAATTTATCAGAGAACCTTATGTTGTCAGATTTCAACATTTAAGAAAGCCTAACGTGAAAGTTACCCTTGTTGGTTGCCATACACAACCACAAAATGCTTATAATGAAATAAAAACGTTAGTGGCTGATATATATACTAATGTGAAAGAAAATTTAGAAAGAAATAATCTAAGGGGTTTCAATAGATTATACACTCTTTTATGGAGTCATTTATGTTGTTGCCTAAATGACGTATCTTCTAAAGATGGTGAAAATGATGAACCTATAATTTTAATGGGGGATTTTAATGCATCAGGTTCTTATCTCAACAAACGAGAGCTTTCAAAACTTGATGGAATATTGCGTAAAAACAATCTGATTTGGGGAATTCAACATTCAAGCAATACCACTTTGGCTGCGAGAGATGCCGCTTATGATCGATTTATATTTGAGAAGGCAAGTGTACGAGAATGGATTGGGCATACTCGTGTATGGAGATTTGATGAGGCTTGGATAAATGAAAAAGTAGATCCAATTTTGGTCAAAAGTGTAGCAAAACGCGTCACAGACCATTATCCTATTGAATTTGAATTGAGGATTTAGTTGTTTTTTTTTTCTTTTTTTTTGATTTATTGTATTTTTATTAATTTATAACAATAATATCATATTTCGAAATCACGGGCTGATTTCTAACATATAGCTCGTGAAGCCTATACACTCATTATTCAAAAATATTAAACAATTGTTATATTCATATTTGGCCACAAAATTTAAATTAAATGTATCAAAGGTTCTAGAAGTAAGTATTTTAAGATTAAATACTTTTTATTATTCATTTATTTACACGAATCTTAATATTTTGTAGGCCACTCATAAGACGGCACAAACTTCTATACGTCATGACGTATTTCTGATTAGTTTATATTTTTTCACATGTAATATTGTAAAGTTTTATTATTAGTAATAATAATTATATATGATAGCCTATAAAGAAGTTATTCTTATCATTGGAATGACTCAATTAACATTGATAATAAATTATTTATTTTTAATTAACTAACTAGAGTTACATAAAGACTAACATGCTTCAAGTTTTTTTATATCATCAAATAAATCTAATAATGTTGCTGCTGACCATGCCTGTGTGGGACATGAATAAGGGCAAAATGCTCCATCTGCATTTGTTAATTCAGGAAGACCAGCCCATAAGTCTGTTTCGATCACTTCACGATGTCGTAGTAGATGTCTTGTTATAGTGTGAATTGTTTCATGTTTCTAATAGCAATATAAGAAAGGTTGGAATTAAAAAAACAGCTTTAAACTAAAATAAGACAATAAACAATCAACGTACATTGTCTTTTCCACACCCTACTCGAGTATCAAAATACAAGTATGCACGAAGGAAATAGCCAGTACACCAAAGCCATTCCTAAAAATAATATTTTAGTTAGAAATATGCATAAAAGACGTTATATAAGTACCGTATTTGCGCGTAATAACGCACATATGCGTTATTTTGAAATCTTCACTTTTTTGAAAATTGCATATTTTGACTCAAAATAACGCGCCTCGATCGATCTGAATTCGCATATATATGCAATTACTATATATTGTTATGCTTAAATATATTATGCGAAATATCGAACAGGTGTATCCCAAAATAACGTGCAGATGCGCGTTATTACACGCCAATACGGTAAATATTATGATACTACTTACGGGGCCCTGATGATAATTCCATCCCTTAGCAACAGATGGGTCAGTGCCATCATTGCTGTTATCATAAACACCTCGATATGCCAAATCATTTGGATCAAGTGTACGCATTCCTAATGGTCCAGCTAATACCTCGCGTGCAATATTCAATGCTTGAAGTGCATGATGCTCATCAAATAGTTCTGGCGCCTGATTATATAAAATTAACAAAAGTATGATTATAGTTCAGGTGCCTGTTTATATTTATATTTTAAAAACAATATCAGACATTATGCGTACCACAACCATAGCAACCGGAAAATTTGGTCTTAATTGATAATCTTGATATTCTCCAGATGAATTGCATAAATCCTTATATATACCTCTACGATTAACCAATTTGGAATTCAATTTGTATTTTGAATCTTCATTTGGGTCTAATTTAAACAGCAAAAATCAGTAAATAGTCAGAAATGAATTTATAAAAGTTCGAGTGACTGAGTAATACAGTAGGTCTCACCGGTAGGAATATAGAAATGTTTTTCAAACGATTGTTGGATTAAATCATTCCATTCGGCAAATGTAATAAATTTCTTCGTAGGACATTCTATATTTAAAAAGTTATTATGTCTGCAACAATTTCTATTTAACGTGCTGGATTAACATGTTATTAATATAAACGTTGTATACCTTTAAGTTCAACACCATTCCATGGATAATGACCAGTTTTATTTAATTCTGTTATCCATCGCAAAGTAGATTTTAATAGCCCAATAATTTCAACTGCTGCTCCATCTCTTGGTGTAGCCGGTCGACCTTTATTTCCGGCTTTATCTGATTCTCCCATCTTATCCATCCAAGTACCACAATTCCATTGGTTTCCACCATTTAAAAAGCCAGTTTCCCAATCAACATCAATATCAATTTGGAATCCTTTATCAGTCATAGCATGATCAAGGTTGGGACCTGCATTCCATTCTTTGAAATGAATTCCACAAGCATGTCGTTCCATAATTTCTTGAATAATCTCAAGAATAGTAGATTCGTATTTATAGGATAGAGGATCATCCGCTTCAATAAATTCATCGTTTTTAGGGAATCGTCGTGTAACAGGTGTCTTAAGAAAATCTAAACCTTCCGGAGAGAATTTGCAATAATCTTGTATGGATTGCAAAAACCACCATGGTGCATCACGACAATTATAACGTGGTCGACGTGCAGCATCCAATAAATTTGGAATCATTCCATGTTTAAGTACACTACCAAATCCAATTATATGTTTTTTAGCAGCTTCAAAATTACCCGTAGTAAGAAATAGACCACGCAATGAAATAAAAACATCACGTCCCCAACATCTCATGTGAGCGGTAGCAAAATGTGGCAATCCTGCGGCCATCGATGGACCAATTTCCGTGGGGTGCAATCCAGTCGACAAAACTATTCCATACATTTGCACTGAACACAAAGCAAGTGATTGGATAAATGAACTTCCTTCGTACGCGCAGGGTGATAACTGTGACATAACTCGTTTAATTGCTGCAGAATGTGCTGTCTTTATAACCAAAGAAAAAAATTTTGGAACTAAAAAGCCCGGTACTGTCTTTACAATTGCAAATCTTTCTTGATACCAATCGCATAGTCCTTTTAGGTTTGGTGCGTACTTTAAATAACTATAATGAAATAATGACATGTTATAATAAGTTTGACATATAATTCGTAAACGTGACAATTACCTAACAAGACGGTCCACAACATAATCTAAAGCCCAATGACCTTCACGTAAGTTAGCACAAAACGGATGACCCAAGTCATTTTCTTTCATTATTGGGCGTAAAACCGACATAAATCCTTCTAAACCACAATATGGTAGATCACCATATCCAGGTACGTTATATGTGCCGTGACCAGGTATAAGATCGTTTTCTTCACTACCACATCGATATAATACTATATTCAAATCGACCAAGTTTAACTCTTTAAAAACTTCGTCAGCACCTGATGTAAGCATTTCATCTAGAGAATTATGTTTATCCACCTTCGTTTTAAGAAGAGTGATACTGCCAGAAGGAAATTCTTTCGGCAACGTAACTTCAGTATATTTTCCGTGTTCATCAGATAATTCGCGTAATATAGGAGCGTTAAGTGCCTTAAGTGATGACGGAAGCCCAGTCAGATATTTATCATCACGAATAAATTCTTTAGATCGGACTTCCAAGCATGTAGAAAAGAGTACTTCGGCCTTCGTACCCCTTAACTTGATTGGAGTAACTGAAGAATAAATATAAGGTAAAAATATGAATTGAGAAGGCACAATGTTTCAATAACATATAAGAGGTCTTAAATGCTTACGATTATAACCGCTTTTTACAGAGTCAGAGAAAGCGCAATGAGCAACCAATAAATACCCATTATTGTTGTGTGGATTCACGCGATGAACTATAATAGACTAATATCATACAGATCAAACAATTAAAAGTTAATAAAATGGAAATGAAGTTTGTTAGTTCCATTGAACTTACATCATTTTCGTGGTGTACATGGGTTTCTATATGTCCATCCAATAACATTTCAACGTGCAAATGCTGCATTACTTTTTTAACTAAAATCATAAAATACGGATAAAATAAGTATATATACAATTAATTGTGATAAAATTATTAAAAAAAAAAAAATTGTAATTCACTTGCCTCTTGCTATACCAATTTCAAGAGGTTTCTCATATAATTTATATGGTCTAGTTTCGTTTACCAAATCAACCGTCATTGGATAAATTTCATCATATCCTTTGACGCTTCCAACAGCACAAGAACTCATGGCAACAAGAGCACCATTTGATAAAGAGTCTTCTGCAGTTCTCTTTTGATGAGGTGTTTCATTATCGTGAGTACAATCCATGAAAAGTGCGTGCGGGTTGGATCCTACCAAGGGAACAATGCAACAAGGCGTTTCTGAATATTCATCAACATCTGTATAAGTTGATGCGTCTGAGAGACATGCATCATCTATAGACCCTTTAATTTAATAACAAGTAAAACAATATAAGCTTTCATATGATGTCTAATAAGCTAATACACGATATACATACTTACCAACAGGTTTTCCACCATGACGATGAACTAATCTACTTAACTCGTGCGAATCCCAAGCTTGCATGGCCTCCCTAATGAGAGAGTTAATGCCCAAATGATTCACAAATTTTATGTCCATTTCCTCCGAACCGGTAAATAATTCTGCGACAACATAAAGGTTCGGTCGAACGCGACGGGCGGCATCGAGAAGATGCTGACCGACATGAAGTGGAGTGGAATGACAATTGTCAATACGGATCCCATGGAAAAGCGATGCAAGCTGCACAGTATATTTTGTCATATGATCCCAAAGCCAAGGCGAATCATCCTATAAAAAAAAATAACAAACATGGGGTATTATGTCAAAATTGTAAAGATATGCTTACAGGCAATACTGAACATAATGAATCACGTTACCCTGCTTTTACCATATCTTAACTTCACACAATCACCCCAAACGATCACCTCTCTTCGTAAATAAGAAAACGATTCGTTACTTGCAAAATCCTGCAAGGGATTTGCATTCCAAATCCAACCATTATTTACAACAGCCAAAGATCCTTTTGGATGCTTTTGCGTTTTTTCATTAAGTGGAATACGAGTAAAATACCGCTCAACGAGAGGAACACTAGTAAATTCATCGCATGTAAATATTAATTGAAATTAATTATTCAAATTCTACAAAATTACCAAATTACCGTTGAGTTATTTCTTTTTGGTTTGGTCCATGAGGATCAAGTTTCAAATATTTGGCACGATTCCACAAATTTTCAAGAATTATGATAACTTCATCATCATATAATTTATAAAATGGCAAGTTTACTTCGTTGATAATTGCTTTGAATTTGTTCAGCATAATTTCATGTATTGACTTTTCATTTATTGCCCCCTCCGGTTTTACCTCATTTACTTCTATAGGTTTTATATTGGCAACTTTTTCAGAAGTTATTTCTTTAATCTCGCTCTTGTCTTCTGATTTATTCAATTCATTATTTTTTTTGATAAGGGTATTTTTCGAAGAAATAGATTCTAGGGTATATTTAGGTTCCGAGTCATGATTATCTTTGGTATTTTCCAATTTATCCGTATCTAATTGTTCCTTCTGAGATGAATCATCAATTGATACATTAGAATCATTATTCACACTTTCGTATTTTGCTTCAGTCTCAATCAACCTCTCAATAAAAGCAAGAGCAATGTCAATATTTATTTTTTTGTAGAAACGCTGGCCAAAAGTGCCTTTATTATATAAACCTTTATCGGCTAATAATTTGGCTTGTTCTTTAAATGAAAGTGCAGCAATGTCAATATTTTCAAATAAAGACTTGTCAACTGATGCATTCTTATCTAATGCAGCTTGAAATTCACTTAATGCTTCTTTGACATCAATAACATAGAATTCCCATAAACGTATTTTATCAATAACATGCTGTTTAACACCCTCAATAATTGCTTTTAAATCTTCTTCAGATTGGACGTGAGCCTTATAACCAAGTGAAGAAATATTTTCGGAATATTCTAATAATGCAGTATCTAACTCGTAAGCAGGAATAAGATGTGGAGAATTTACTAAATTATAACCTGAATTTATAAGATAAAGTATTGAGTGAATCGAGTGAAAAAAAATTTTTTTCCAAAAATTTAAGAAATTATAATAATAACAAAGTTAACACATACCAGCCTCTGGGTGATCTTGAAGCCATTCACTATTACATGCAGTGTGATTCCAAACTATATCGGTTAAACTTAAGATTCCATATTCTTCATCAAGCTTGTTTACCGTTTGTTTTACGATTTCAATTTTTTCCGATAAACTTTTTACACGATCTTTTTCTTCAAACAAATCATCTGAGAAGGTCAACTGATCAAATATAGAATACGGAGAGTTAGAGATGCCACGGGACTGCATAGGTAAAAAGTGGATCATATTATAACCAAGGTCAGATATAGTCTTGATGTGTTCGTCCCATTGAGAAAAGGGACCAAGTAATTTAGGTAGGACGGATTGAATGACAATACCATCAAGAGGAATTGTGACTCTAGGCTCATATGATATTGGTTCCGATGAAAATATCCTGTATCGAGGAACCATTTCAAGTATCGGATCAACCGTAAAATAACATCTTTTTGAAGTTTTTACAGTTTCATCGAAGTTCTTTGAATTTGTTGGAGATTCCTTATATTCAACATAGAATTCAAATGCGCCTGATCTCTTGATTGTAATATCAACATGAAGAGGTTTCGAAAATAATTTTGGAAACCTAATTTAAAAATGTATAAAAGGCACCATTTTTGAATTAGTTTTAAGATGCGATTCTATCTAAATACAAAATAACTTACTTCCTTGGATAAAATTTATTCCTATCGAATTCTGCACTAAATTTAGAAAAAAATAAATAAGATAAAATCGTTGATCGGATTGGATAAATAATACAATTTCATACTTAAAAGACTTACTCATCTAAGGGATGGTTGGTATATAAAACCCCTTCTTTTGAAATAAGGGAATCAGCACGAATACTAAAGCGAAGAATATAAGGCTTTGTAGGTGGAGGTAGCCGTATAAACTGTTTTCTTTTGCTAAGTGATCCATCACCCTCAAGTTCAAGTAGGTAAATAGTGTTCATCGATTTCTTCACTGACATTTGGATATTAAAAGAAAAAATTGAATAATTTCTTGCAGTATTTGTAATTAAGGGGAAAGAGAAACTTAATATATATGATTTCGGCAGAAATCGTCCCAGATTAGGAAATGGTTACACGGTTTATTAATCTCCCTTAACGTTAGGGAATACCGCGTGCACTTATTTGTGCGAGTGATACAAATCTAAATTAGGAATTGATACAATTGATTGGCTGATAATTATCATGTGAATACGGACTGTTCGGACCAATCTACTCAGGAAGACGGGTCGGATCCACGGTCATGGCTGTGTAATACAGGGTGACCGTCAGTAAATTGATATAACTCATGCCTCCAGGCCGTCAGTAATTTGATTCCCTACATATCGCATACGTTATTAGTATTACGATACTGCGTAACAAAACACATCCAAGCTAATTATTCTTGTTAATTTAGTCAACATAAAATATTGCATATTACCCAATAAACAACATTTATTAAACAATATTTACTTATATGATTGAGCATAGTATATAGTTAAATTATTAAATTTTACCATTATTAAATTATCTCAATTAAATTTTTAAAAATCTGTTACTTTTACTTGCACATATATTGGATAACAAATAAATAATAAATAAAAAATAAAATTATATTTACATTTAAAATTTTGATAAGGAAAACATACTAGTAACTCCGGATATAATAAACTAAAAATTAATAGCAATTTTAACAATACTGGCTATGTAACATCTAATTTTTAAACGTTAAAGTGAACGTTAAGGTGAGCGTTAAGGTGAATGCTAGAGTTAAAATAAGGTGAACGTTAAGATGAATGCTAAGGTGAACGTTAAAGTGAATGCTAGGGTTTAAAGTAAGGTAAACGCGAACATTAAAAGTGAACGTTAAGGTGGACGTTAAAAGTGAATGCTAGAGTTAAAGTAAAGTGAACGTTAAAGTGAATGTTAGAGTTAAAGTAAAGTGAACGTTAAAGTAAACGTTAAAGTGAATGTAAAGGTGAACGTTAAAGGTGGATATGAAGGTGAACGTCAAAGGTGGATATGAAGGTGAACGTTAAAGGTGGATATGAAGGTGAACGTTAAAGGTGAAGGTTAAAATGAATATTAAAGTGGATGTTAAAATAAGGTAACGTTGAAGGTTTAATAAGAGGCAACGTTAAATAAGTAAAACAACGTTAAAGTGAATGCTAGAGTTAAAAGTAAATTAAAAATAATATTCACCTTAACGTCAACATTAAAGATTAAAATAATATTCACCTTGACGTCAACATTAAAGGTTAAAGTGAATATTAAAGGGTTAAAGTAAATACTAGAGTTAAAAGTATAATACTAGAGTTAAAGTATAATATTCATCTTAACGTTCACTTTACTCAATAATATTCACACCTTACTCTAACTCTAGCATTCACCTGAACGTTATTATTAATTTTCACCTTACTTTAACTCTAGCATTCATTCTAACGTTCACCTTAATATTCACCCGAACGTTCACCTTACTTTAACTCTAACAGTTACCTTAACGTTCATCTTAACGTTCACCTTTAACGTTCATTTTACCGTTCAGCCTAACATTAACTCTAGCATACTATAGCATTCACCTTAACGTTCATTTTAACGTTCACCTTAACGTTCAGCCTAACATTAGCTCATTCACCTTAACGTTCACCTTAACGTTCACCTTAAGTTCACCTTAACGTTCACCTTAACGTTCATCTTAAGTTCACCTTAACGTTCACCTTAACATTCACCTTACTTTAACTCAGTATTCACCTTAACGTTCGCCTTAACGTTCATTTTGACGTTCACCTTAACATTCACCTTATAAGCATTTACCTAACGTTCACCTTAACGTTCACTTTACTTTAAATTCAAGTATTTACCTTAACCTTAACGTTCACCTTAACGTTCACTTTACTTTAAATTCAAGTATTTACCTTAACCTTAACGTTCACCTTAACGTTCACTTTACTTTAAATTCAAGTATTTACCTTAACCTTAACGTTCACCTTAACGTTCACTTTACTTTAAATTCAAGTATTTACCTTAACCTTAACGTTCACCTTAACGTTCACT